CTGGGGAAGGAGAGGGACAGGGCTAAAGGTACCAAACTGGGATGGGGCTGGAAAATGGGGAGGTCTGAGAGCACCAATTTTGCTTTTCCTTTCCCTTCTCTTTCTGCCTTTGGAGCCAGGCTGGGAGAGCTGAGGGTGCTCACCTGGACAGGAAAAGGATCCAGGGAGAGCTCAGAGCCCCTGGCAGGGCCTAAAGGAACTCCAGGAGAGCTGGAGAGGAACTGGGGACAAGGGATGGAGGGACAGGACACGGATGGAGGGACAGGACACAGGGAATGGGGTCACACTGCCAGAGGGCAGGGATGGATGGGATATTGGGCAGGAATTGGATGGAATATTTGGATGGATGGGATATTGGGCCTCCCCACCTGGGAGGGTGGGCAGGCCCTGGCACAGAGTGCCCAGAGAAGCTGTGGGTGCTCCTGTATCCCTGGCAGTGCCCAAGGCCAGGTTGGACCTGGGAGTACCTTGGGACAGTGGAAGGTACAGTGGAAGGACAGTGAAAACCGGGCGAGCTTTCAGGTCCCTTCCCACACGGAATCCATGAGGGCAGCGGGATACYTTTGAACCCTTTCTCTTACCTAAACGACATCCAAGAGAGACAGAGAGGGATTTCATAGCATGGCTGGAGTGCCGGGACACGGCGAATCGCTCCACGCTGACCCATGGCACGGTTAGAAGTGTTTTTTTTGGGATTTTTCTTCTCCGTTTTCCCGCTCCCCTCACGCGCGGGGCCCTCCCGGCCGCCAGGCGGCGCCATCGCGGGCGGGGCGGGGCGCGGTGACGTCACGGGCACGCCGGGTGGGCCGATGCGGCGGCGGCGGCGGCAGCGGGAGCGGCACCGGCAGCACCGGGAACGGCGCCGGCAACACCGGGAACAGCGGCACCGGGAGCGCCGGTAGCGCCGGGAACGGCGGCGCTGGAAACACCGGGAACGCCACCATGGAGTACGTGAGCCCCGAGCAGCTCGCCGGCTTCAGCAAGTACAAGGTAGCGGCGCGGACGGGGGCCGGGCTCGGGGCCTGGCGCCGTGAGGGGGGCGCTGAGGGGCCCGCCGGGTTTGGGAGGGGCGGCTGCGGGAGGTTGGGGTGTGTGGAGGAGGGAGGCTCCGGTGRGGTTTGGGCCGCGGTGGGATCTTGGGAAGGGCTGTAGGGACAYCCGCGGTGTGTGGAGGGGTTCTGCAGGGACGCCCGGGATTTGGGGCGGAGGGAGAGGCCGCAGTGATAGGCGAGACTTGAAGGGAGCGAGGGGGAATTGTAGGGAGAGCCGGGTTTTGGGAGGGTCTGCAGTGATACCGTGGGTTTTGAGGAAGGATTTGCAACGATGTCCGGGTTTTATGGGGACCTGAAAGCCGGGTTTGGAGGGGGTGGGAGGTGCAGTGAGCCCGGGGTTTGGTGGGTTTGCAGTGACACATGGGGGTTTGGGGACGGCGGGGTTGGCACTGCAGTGAAAGCTGGGATGGGAAGGTGTAGGGGAGGGCTACAGGGAAACCTGGAGTTTGGGGAGGGGGAGCTGCAGGGAAACCTGGGGTTTGGGGTGAGGATCCCGTGAGACATTGGGGTTTCAGGGTAGGGAGCGCTCTGCAGTGACACCCAGGTTTGGGGATGGTTGCAGSGAAACACAGGGTTTGGGAGGGTGGSTACAGTGTRATCCGAGGTTTGGGGGGCTGCAGTGAGACCCGGGATTTGGGGGGATTTGTGGATGCAGCAAAGACCGGTGGGGTGAAGGTGGGACCATGTGCGATGTGGGATCCCCCCTGCTGAAATGGTCAGGGTGTGACTGGGAGCTTCTCCTCCTCCTGGGCTGGGGTTCAGAGAGGCAGTAGTGACCTGTCCCCACACAAAGCAAGCTCTGGGACTGTCCCCTCAATGAAGGGACCATGGAGGGTTCCCCGGGAGCATGTCTGGCCCAGAAACTGCCCCCATTGAGCTCAACCGTGGTGCTCCTGCCCCGTGGCTGCTCCGGGCAGTCACACCCATGGAACCCACGTTGTTCCCATCTGCTTGTGCCAAGCTGTGTCTTGTTCAAAGCATGGGAAATCTTGGAAGGAAGCTCTGGAAATGCCAACAGGCTCTGCCGTGGCATTCAAGTCCCTGGGAGCTGATTTTGGGCCACAATAGGTGACATCCTTGATACAGGGGAATCCTGGATCCTGTGTGGATGTGGAGAGGAGGGTGTTTTCCATCTTTTTTCTTTTCCCACACCAACAGCGATGTAAAAAGGCTACAACTCACCTTCTTTGCTTTGTTCTTGTTCTGGGACCCATAATGTGGGGCCACGTTCCAGTTGTCCTTCCAGGGTGCCTTGTGGGGGTGTTATTTAAGAGTGTGGGGCAATCAGGAGGAGTCTGAGGCCTCCAGGGAGCAAAATTTCTCTCAGAGCCATCCATGGGGCTGGGGTGGCCAGGGCTTGCTCACACTCCTCTTGCACCATGGTGAAATGGAGAGAAATGGACTGGGGAGAGCGATGTGTCAGGGTGCACGAGATTCCCTGTGGAAGTCTGGCTGTGTGTGGATTCATCAGGAAAATTTCCATGTGTTTAGAAAGGCAGTGAACAACCGTGGGTTTGTGTGGGTGCTGCAGAAAGGTAATCAAAACAATCAGCTCTGAGCCAGGCCTCCCAAAAGGACTGCTTTGGCTCCTGCAAAGATGATTTTTTTGCTCCAAGGGGGATGTTCAGCCCGTTTCCCGTCACGCTGGAGGGATTGGTGGGGTTGCTGCTGTCCCTCTCAGCACCTGTGCAGGGAGAAGGGGGTCTCCAACACCCTTCTGGATGGTGTGGCAGCAACCAAAACCTGCTCTGAAGTTATTTCCTGAAGACACTTCTGACAGAAATGCTGCTGCAGTTAAATCTGGGAGCAGAACCCTGAAAGGTGCCCGGGGCGAGGAGGAAGGTTCCGCACAGCACAAAAAGCATCGGCTGCTCCCTGTCCCCAGTCTGGCACAAGTGTGGTGTTCCCTGGCCTTGGTTTGGGTTCCCTGGCCTTGGTTTGGGTTCCCTGGCCTTGGTTTGGGTTCCCTGGCCTTGGTTTGGGTTCCCTGGCCTTGGTTTAGGTGGCACAGGGCTGGAATGTGAGAGCAGGGCTGTGATGGAGCCGAGGACAGGAGGAGCTCTGTGGTTTTACTGAGTCAAGAGTGACTTTGACAGCAGTTTGTGGGTTCATTTAGTGCTCCAAGAGCCCCATCTCTGCCCCGCTCATGTCTCTGCCCTGCTGCCTTCCCTGCTTCCTCTGTGTCTTGTTTCCTAGGGGAGCTTTGTTCTTGGCTATTTTAGCTTTGGGAAAGTGGCTGATCCAGCACAAATCTCCTGTACTGGGTCACGTATTCCAGCCTTGATTTCGGCGTTGAGGCTCGRTGTGCTCTGCCCTTTGCAGCTTCTAAAGCTGGGTTACCTTGTCAGACTCACAAATGGGGCTGGAAGGGACCTTAAAGCTCATTCTGTGCCACCCTGTGCCATGGGCAGGGACACCTTCCATGATCCCAGGGTGCTCCAAGCCCAATCCAGCCTGGTCTGGAACATTTCCAGGACTGGGGCAGCCACAGCTTCTCTGGGCAGCCTGTACCAGGGCCTTGCAGTGCCTCAGCCTTTAAGCTGTGCCTGGSAGAAGCTTTCTGGCCACACACCATCGATTTGGAGAAGACCAAGGTGGTTTGGGGGAATGTGGAGGAGGCAGTGTGTCCCAAGGAAGGAGCATATCCTTGGAGAGGAGTTGGCGTCCCTGGAGTTGATACAGCAGGAGGAGAGGAGCTGCATGCAGGATGATCCACATTCTTCTCCAGCCTCCTGGATCACTCCTGCCATGGAGTGAGGAGTCCAGATGGTTTCAGTTTGCAGTGTGCACGTTCCTTCTGGCTGGGGGTGAGGCAGGTCTGTGCTCCTGCTGTCCTAAGCTGGCAGGGGTGGAGTGGGAACCTTTCTCTGGCTGTGCTTGAAGGGACCCTGAGGAGCTCCTGAGCCCRAGGAATCTGTGCAGCACAAGGTGCAGAGCTGGCAGAGAAGGTTTCATGGTTAATGGAGAGGGTTAATGGTGCCAGAGAGGTTTCCCTGGGGGTGCTGGTGCCAGCAGCTGGACATGAGCCCAGGGTGCCCAGGTGGGCAAGTGGCCACTGGCCCCTGGGCTGTGCCAGCTCTGGGGTGGCAGCAGG